CTAGTTTCCCTTATCTTAAGGAGAACTACTACAACTCTAGACAACTCACCTACCTTGCTTCAGGCTCAAGGAATCCTAGAAACACCTATAGAACATAAAATTGTGATCGAAGAGAGTCCTTAGAACCTCTGATCCACAAGGAACTAGGAAAGAGAGGTAAGTAGCACACATGAGAATGGATCCCTATGCATAATCTCAAACTAAGTGTAAAGGAAAAAGGACTCGAAACTTACTTACTCTATATTAGAAACTGATCGATAGATGTTGGAGAACGCACTAAGGTGATCTCCTAAACATTTTCTGATCATCCAACAAATGATCGATGAATTAAAATTTGTTGAGAGAAGGAAGAGAGAACTTAGAAAAAGAGTTTTAGAGAGAAGACAAGTATTTTAGATAATAAGACGAGTTTAAGAAATTATATTTATATTACTAAATTATTTTAACTTTAAAATACTCAGTTTCATCATTTAAAAACATCTACCAAATCCAATACTCTATTTTCTAGGTTCTTACATTTCATGTGATGTCATGATTATTGAATTTTTTTAGTTTCTATCTACCATGAGTTTTATAAAAGAAATTCAACAATTTTATTATATATATATATATATATATATATATATATATAATTTGAGAATAATATTATTCCAAAAAATCATATATAAAAATATATATTTATATTAGTTTTAATGTACTTTACACATAACACTAAGTTTAGAAACCATCAATCTAACACTAATATTATATTATACTCTTACTTTTTTGTATTACGAGGAGTTACCTAAAATACTACTAATTGTAATGGACTTTGACAATAGCGCGTGTATGGGCACACATTTCTAGTTTCAAATCCAAAGTAATAAAAATGTTTAATAACTAATTTTGTCCCCAGTTTCGTTGACAAATCTCAATGTAGTCCCTCGTTTTAAAAGTGTTTGAATTAGGTCCTCACTTTCAAAACTTTGATTCAAATTAGTCCCTTCTGTTAAATATAACCAAACGACGTTAATGAAGTGATGATTTGGCACAATGCAGTGGTGACGTGTTGTTTTTAATTTAGGACATTTTGATTTATGGGAGATATTAGGTTATGAATTGTAGGGTTTTTTTAATCCTAATAAATGTTACCCTTTTTTCTGATACCGTTGATTAACTTTTATGAATTGCTTATGTAATCAATTTCATAAATGTTTCTTAAATGCTCTTTCAGTGATTTTAATTAAGGAAATCTATACTTTTTTGTATTAAGAATCCATTTATGTTTATGCAATTTTAATTATTCATAAAACCTTAAATTAAGAATCCTAATTTAAATCAGAAAGGGAAAATTCCCATTTTGAAACCCTAAGCTTATGAACCCTAAAATTGGGAATGATTCTTGGCCTTCTGGTGCGTCGCACCTCTGTTTTGCGAAACTCACTTCATCTCCTTTGGTGTTCTTCACCACGCTTATGGCCGTTGCATTCTGATTTTTGGCTCGATGGTTTTCTTCTTCTCCATTCGCATTTTTTGTCATTGAGGAGAACTAGGTCGCGATGGTTTGGGTTTTCAAGCTGGCCTGTTTCGTCTGCGATGGGGTTCTCGTGCAACAATGGTTGTCAGAGTTGCGATAGTTTCCTCTGGTGAAGACGCGACTCCTTCTTTGATTGGCAACGTCTTTCGTTGCCAACACAGAAACAACTTCGCTCGTGAATGACAGCGGCTCAGATGCGTCTGCGAGATCTGGTGCTTCGCACCTGTTGGGTTGCTCGAGACAATAGGAGTGACGTTGCGTCACGACGACGCTACGTCACGGTGGTCCTCGCTCTCGCGATGGCAAAGGCACAATCAGTGGTGGCGTGTTCGCTGGTTTTGTCTCGGGTCGTTAAAGACTTCCTCAAGCAACTCCGAAAGAGGGAACACCTCTTCGCCAACCACAAACCACCACACTACTGCCAACACAAAACACTCAAATCGAAACCCAAAACAACAACAGAAACGAAAAGAAGATAAACAAGAAGAGCAGTTGTACCTAATCTCGCAGAAACGAAAATGCCCTAAAATCAATTTTTCTCCAATTTCAAATGCCCAATCTTTAATATCCAGCTTAACTCTAACTTCGTAACACGTCACCACTGTATTGTGTCAGATCATCAATCCATTAACGTCGTTTGGTTATATTTAACGGAAGGGAGTAATTTGAATCAAAATTTTGAAAGTAAGAACCTATTTCAAACACTTTTAAAACGAGAGACTAAATTGAGATTTATCAACGAAACTGAGGACAAAATTGACTATTAAACCTAATAAAAATGTGACAACCACTTATGGGATGAAGATGTGAATAAAAAATATACAGAAGTGAAATAAAAAACAAAATAAAAATTATGGAAAAATAAATAAAAATGTAATGGAAAACGTATATCTATTGATAGAAATTGAGAAGAAAAAAGTGGAGGGGTTTTCAAAAAAGTTACACGATAATATAATGATTTAAGATATGATCTGTTTCTTTATATATAACCATTTTATTGTTTTCAAAAGTTTATTATGACTTTTAAAATTAAAAAAGAAAAAAAAAATCAAAGTAGTGCTTGACATGAAAACTTATTTCGGTAATTGGTGTGGTTGGTGGCAAGTAATAGTTTGCATCACTAAATTGTTTCACTTAAATTTATATAATTTATATTCACATAATAAAGGATTTTTTGTAAACCGAGCAGAACATAAAGTGGAATATTATTGTTTGTGTTATACTATTTAAGGAAATTCGTTGATAATTCAGGCTATATAACAATCTTGTAGAAATGTAAGAAAAGAAATTATCACAATAATTGGTAAAAAGAATGATGAGATAAGAAATAAATTAATGATAAAGTTAAAAAAAATTGGAAAGGGAGTTAGATTGATAAAGAAGTTCAACTAACAGAAATTAGCTACATTCACAAGAAATTAAACTAACAAAAAGTGGAAGCGTGAGAACGAAAATTGAGAAGGACTTAGTGGTTTTAAATGTGTGTGGAATACAAAGACTGAGAAATAATGTTGCATAATGTAACATCCATGAGAGAAATATGGAATTTTGTATAACACACTATTATTAATAGTTATAGGAAAATCGTAAAGTATTATACAAAATTATCATTATTTAAGATTTCCATAAAGAACTACGTAGAAGTAAAAAAATAAAATGAATTAATATAAATTTGTGTACTCTCAATAATTTGAAATTCGATTCGATACTCAAATATAAATAGAATGTATAAAGGTCGATCTAAAGGTTATAAGTTCAAAAATTAGGTTAAAAGATGTTTTGATTTAATTAATAAATCTTGCAATCTATGAGATATTTTAATAAAAGATAAAAGAATTATATTTATTTATTACTTTAGTATTTTGTTATTATTTTTTGTAATTAAAATATTATCTGATATTTCATAAAATAGACAATTTGTAACGGTTTTGTTTATAAATAACATAATAACTCTCATTGTCAATAAATTAAACGTAGTTATTTTACTCTGGTTGGTGTAACCGTGTTGTGTGCTGGCATTGTTTTTTTTGAATTAAAAATAATATCTAACTGGTAATAATTCACAATTCAATGTACCTCCCCATCTTCAACTAACCATTAACTCCATGTAATATTCAACGACTATAGCATTATTTTTTCAAAAGGACCAGAGTAGAATTTTAAATTGATTTTTTTTTTCTTTTCTTTTGTCTTGAAAACCTCTTCAGGAACTAAATTTTGGAAAGCATTTTTTAATTTTTTGTTTTCTTGTGTTTTTAATAAAGGAAGAAAAAAACTTTAATATTAAAAAAGATAAAACTAATTTTAAATGATTAATTAAAAATACTGAGATTAAATTTTAATTGCTTTTGAAAAAACAAGAAAATAATTTAAGTGTGAATAAATTTTATTTCTGTAATATTAATTTTGTCATATAGTCTGAAATAAAAATTGTTATTATTACAATGATTTGCAGAAAAAATTGATGAAAAATAAAAGGTAAATTAAAAATTTTACATTATTATCATTATTGATAATATTATTAATCATAAATATTTTTATTATAATATTTTTATTTTTTAAAATTTTAATTATATTATAAAAATCACATTTTTTATTTATTTTACGCCTTCTCTAAAGTAATTAAAATTAAATATTTTTTATTAAATATTTTTTAGAAATATTATTTTTGCTTAATAACTATATAGTGTAAGATAATTAATAAAATATGTAATTATGTTTATTCTCTAATAAAATATGTAATTATGTTTATTTTCTAATTAATAAAATATTGGTCTAGAGGGAAAGTTCGGCTTTAAGGGAGAGCTTAACTTGGAGGGAAAGCTCAGCTAAAGGCAAAGCTTTCTAGAGAGAGCTCGACTTGAGGGATAACTCTACCTTAAGGGATAGCTCGACCAAGAGGAAAAGCTTGACCTTGAGGAAAAGCTTGGAGGAAGAGCTTGACTAGGAGAGAGCTCAACCTCGAAGTCAAGCTAGGGAGAGCTTGGCTTGGAGGGAGGGCTCGACCTAGAGGGAGGGCTTGACTTGGAGGGATAGCTTGGCCTTGACGAAGAGCTCGACCTAGAAGGAGAGCTTGGCCTAGAGTGAGAGCTCGGCTTAGAGAGAACTTGTCTTAGAGGGTGACCTTAGCTTAGAAGGAGAGCTTGACCTTGAGGAAGAGCTTGGCCTTGAAGACAAGCTTGATTTGGAGGGAGAGCTTGACCTTGAGGAAAAGCTCATCCTGGTAGGAGACGTTGACCTCTTCCTCGAGGTCAACCTCGAGAAAGAGCTCGACATAGAGGGAGAGCTCGACCTTGAAGGAGAGCTCGACTTTGAGGAAGGGCTTGCCTAAAGGAAGAGTTTTCCGTTGAGAGAGAGTTTGACTTAACAAAGAGTTTGACCAAGGGCATAGAGGAAGAGTTCAGAGTTTGGACTTAACGAAGAGCTCGACTAAGAGAGAAAGCTCGGCCAAGAGGGAGAGCTCAACCTAAAGGAAGTGTTCGGCCTAGAGGGAGAGCTCAGTCTCGAGGAAGCGATCGGCGTAGGGGAAGAACTCGTCACAGAGGGAAAGCTCGGCCTGAAGGGAGAGATCAGCTTGGATGGAGAGCTCGACCTAAAGGGAGAACTCGGGAGGAAGAGGTTGGCCTAAAGTTGAATTAAAATAGAACTTGAAATTGAACATTACAAAATATAAATTGTAGCATAATTGAAGTAGCATAATTGAAGTTGGCAATTACAAGAGAATGAAAAAGAAAATACAAGAAACAAAACATTAAAATGAAAACGGAAATTTAAAGATTGGCCGAGAAGTCCTGATAATTAGTAAAAGAAAGAAATTAAGAACCTAAAACTAGCCGAGAACTTCTTTAGGAAGGAGTGCTGTTCTCGGTTCTTAAGCCCCCCATCCTCCTTTTCTTATGACTATTTACATTATATATAGAAAACCTTTATGCCTCTTGGTTGATGCCATGGTCCAAAAATCAGAATACTCCCTAACAACAATCTGAAAAGCTGTCCCAGAAGTTAGAATATTCCGTAACGACAATATGAAAAACTACCCCAAAAATCAGAATTCTCCTTAACGAACTCCTAAAAAGCTGCAAAAAGTTGTTTTTGTCTTCTTTTTGAGCGAGGATGTGTGTTGGCCTAATGGCTTTTGGTTTGTGTGCATTACTGTAGCAGTGCACAACCTCTCACTAGTACAGTAAGGGGATACGGCAGCGGTTATTTTCGCCTATAGACAGCGGTTTTTGAACCGAGTCATATACAGGCGAGACAAAAAGTAAACAACTTTATGCCTCGGTTGGGAACCAGGACAAAAAAGTAGAGGATTTGGCCTCGGTTTAAAAGAACCCAATGCAGTAGATTTTTCATTTTTTTATTTTTTTAACAGAATTTTATGCCTCGGTTCCTCTGAACCGAGGTAGTATGCCTTTTTTATTTTAAGGATTATTAATGTGTTTGAGTTCCAACTTCGGCACAAATTTTTCCAACAGTGGAAATAGTCTCCACAAGATATAATCCCCGCAAAGTGTCTGCCCCTAGAACTATTGCATCACTACCTACACCGTAAAATGGAAAAACAAACAAAGTAAGATTAAACCATTAATAAACAACATGAAGGTGGAAGAAATATTAACAAATAATCAGAAACAAGTAGTGAATCTAATGGACTAGATAATTTACAGAGGATGATACCATCAGCTTCTCGCAATATCTCATCCAAATGAGTCAATCCCTGTTACAATTTACAAACAAAAGATGCAGTTCAAAAGCGCACACACCAATAATCGACTTTATGAAACTTCATCTTCTTCTAATCTTGGCTGAACGGTTTGCATTAAAATGGATTGAATTGAAGATGAATTGAAGAAATAGAGTGTCCAAAAAACGCACCAGAAGATGCTCCAGATTGGTAGGAAGCAGCGAGAGCGGTGGGGAAGTGACGATGGAACCAGTGCCGATGGATGCAGTGCTGATGGAACCAGATCCGACTCAATAGAACCCAACCAGATCCAACTCAAATTCAAGCCAAGCCAGCCCAAACACAAACTCCGAATCAAATTCAGAAAACCCTAGAGCTTTAAGAGAAGGGGCTCGAAAAGAAGGGGGCTGAAAGGAAGGGTAGGCAAAGGGCGGTGGGCGGTGGGCGGTGGTGGCACGACAGCAAGGGTAGTGGAGGCGCGGCGAGAAATGAGTGAATGAGTGGTGGTGGAGGCGCAGCAAGGGAGGGGAGCAGTGGTGGAGAACGCGAGCAGTGGTGGAGAACACGACAGAGGAAGGGGGAGCGCCGACGAGCAGCGGCGGGGGAGGGGCGACGAGCAGCGGCGGGGGAGGCGCGACGAGCAGCGGCGGAGGAGGCGCGACGAGCAGCGACGGGGGAGGCACGACGAGAAGCGACGGGGGAGGCGCGACGAGCAGCGGCGAGTAGTGGCAGGGAGGAGCGTCAAGCAGTGGCAATGGAGATGCAGAGGAAGAAGAAAGTTGGACGGGTTTTGGATGCTGCGGAGATAAAAGAAGAACGAAGAGCGCTTAGGGTTAATGAAACAATACTGCTCCGTTATTCACCTGACCCGATGCTAAACATGAATTATACGCCTCGGGTGCACACAACCGAAGCATAAAAGCCTCGTTCAAATTTACAAAGACCCTACTGCCTCGGGTCCAAGGGCAACCGATGCCAATATACACTTTATGTCTCGGCTTTTCGTGAACCGAGGTCTATAAACTCGCTGAAATTGCAAAAATGCCACCGCGTTTTCATTTGTTTCGGTTTTCATAGAACCGATGTCTATATGGCGCGTTAAAAACCAGTTTTTTTACTAGTGTCTCAGGGTCGACCTTCTTCTCTACATAGCCGAGCTTCTTCTCTAGCAGAGTTCTTCTTTGCATGGCCGAGCTTCTTCTCTTGCTTTCATCAAATATGAGCTGCCGAGCTCCAATAGGTTGGCCTCCATCATCTCGGGACAAACAGCTCGACAACACATCAACTCGACAATTCAACACAACATGGCAGCTTAACCTAAACCTTCCTAGGATGCATAAATCAAAGTTAAGACTGAAAAATAAAGGAAACAAAATGCTAGAGGAGTGTAATAAGCTTAAACACAAGAGTATAGAAATTGAGTTATCGAAATTCGACCGGTTCCAAAATACTTATTATAATTAATTAACACCTGTCTTGAACTCTCGCTTTTTTTGTTATTTGCATCTGGATTGATTTGACAGTTCACTTCTTTTAAATAATCGAAACACGATACTTCAATTTCGTGCTCTTAAATATCCACTCGTTTAATAGGTTGTTTTAGAGGAGCTTGGCTCAGAGGAGTTTAGTCGAGAGACCTCGACCTAGAGGAGGTCGATACTTAGGAACTCCATCTAAGAGAAGTCAACCTAAAAGGTTTGGCTTAAAGGAGATTGGTTTGGAGGAGGTGGACCTGGAAGACCTTGGTTAGGAACTCGGCCTAAAGAGCTCAGTTTAGAAAAACTTGGTGGTAGGAACTTAAAACGAATATACAATACAATTATTTGAATAATAACAATTACAATAATACAACCTAATTTATATCATATCTTTATTACTTTATTATTTTTATATGCAAAATGAAAATAATTATTAAAAAAAAAACCGTGGGTAAGAACAACTAGTTTTAGTATAAAAGTACATATTTTTGTAAAAATAATCGAGAATAATAGCATCAATTGGTCTAGAACAAATATTTATATTGATTAATTTAATATTATTTAAATTAAAAATATATATTTAATTATCTTAAATAAAAAAGTAGAACTCAAAAACCTATTTTATTTATTTCCTTTAAAAATTTAGCTAACCTTTTTTTATAAATTCATTCAAAACTACATGTGATACAAAATTTGTTAAGTAAAATGGATGTAAATACTCACGTACTAGAAATCCATGAAATATGTGAGAACAATGTAAAACATAGATTGTTGAATAAAAATCCGAGGAACGTTGGAAGTTGAGACTTTTCAACTCTCAGCTCAACATTAATATATTTAAAAAATAAAGAGGAATAAAAGTGAGCTGTTGTTAGACTCAACTTTTGGTTTTAGACCGTTCGGTCTCTTTCTGTTCGTTCGGTCTCTTTCTGTTCGTTTGCTCTTATTGTGTGACTATTCGGGCTTTAGCTAGTGCTCGGCCTATGTTGGCTTCCTACTGTTAATAATCGTTCGATCATTCTGTTGTGTTTGTTACAGTTGCTTTGGCTGGCTATATATTATAGTCTGTCTTTGCGGTTTGTAAGGTTTTTTGAATCTCGAAGTATTATTCAGATCATTATTTTCTCTCTTATTTACTTTCTTATTCTATCTTCTTTCCATTTGGGTTTTCTGTTCTCCGTTTCATGCGAACCCAATAATTTGCACCCACCATGGGTCTGTGAATCAAGAAATTCTAGAAACGATGGCAACCAATTTCGACATAGAGAAATTCAATGGATCAAATGACTTCGGGTTGTGGAAGATCAAGATGGAGGCTATCTTGATACAACAGGACTGTGATGATGCATTGAAGGGGGAGTTGAACATGGGTGCTACTCTGAAGCAAGAAGAGAAGAAAAGAATGGTTGATAGGGCAAGAAGTGCAATCATACTGTGTCTTGGTGATAAAGCGCTGAGGGAGGTTGCGAGGAGAAGACTACGGTTGGAATATGGGCAAAGTTGGAGTCATTGTACATGACAAAATCGCTGGCTCATAGGTTGTGTCTGAAGCAACAACTCTATTGGTTCAAGATGATAGAATCAAGAACCATAGAGGAGCAGCTTGCAAGATTCAGCAAGATTGTTGATGATCTGGAGAACATTGACGTGAGGTTGGAAGATGAAGATAAGGTTGTTATTCTTCTTAATGCGCTTCCAAGAACCTTTGAGCATTTCAGGGATGCTTTGCTCTATGGTGAGGATCAGGTTATTACTTTAGAGGAGGTTGTGACATCAATTTGAACCAAGGAGTTTCAAAAACATCAAGATTCAAAGGCAAAGGGAAGAAGTAGGGGGGAAATTGGAAGAAGTCAAAACCAGAAGGTATGAAACAGGTGAGATGTTTCAAGTGCCAGAAGATTGGACATATCAAGAAGTTCTATCCAGAGAAGGGCAAAGTCGTTCGATCACAGGAAACTACCGATGTGGCAGAGGCGTCCGAGGGATATGAATCTGCTGGTGTTCTGGTGGCTTCATCTAAGGATTCTCAAAGGAGCTGGGTCATGGATTCTGGCTGTACCTATCACATGTGCCTAGTGAAGGAGTTCTTTGAGAGTCTGGAGCAAAAGGAGCTTGGAAATGTGTTGCTCGGCTATTTAAGTTTGCTCATGCTGACTTGTGAAGACCTGCAAGAACTCATACTCATGGTGGAGGAGCATATTTCCTGAGTATAATTGATGATTTTTCAAGAAGAGTGTGGATCTACGTTCTGAAAAATAAGTCTGAAATGTTTCAAAGGTTCAAGGAGTGGCATACACAGACCGATAATCAATTAGGTGTAAGTTGAAATGCCTGAGAACTAACAATGATCTGGAGTTTGTTTCAGAGGAATTTAATGAGTTCTACAAGGTTAAAGGAATTAGGAGGCATAGGATTGTGGTGGGAACTCCTTAACAGAACAGTTTGGCTGAAAGGATGAATAGAACAATTCTGGAGAGGGTTCGGTGCATGTTGCTTGGATCGGGGTTGTCAAAAGCTTTCTGGGGAGAGCCGGCCAATACGGCAATATACCTGATCCACAGGAATCCGTCTTCGGCTCTCAATCATAAAACACCAATGGAAGTTTGGAGTGGACAACCAACAAATTACTCAAACTTGAGGGTGTTTGGTTCTTTGGGTTTGCGCATGTCAAAGGGGATAAGCTGGAGGCCCGGGTGGTGAAAAGTGTATTCCTTGGATATGCTGAAGGAGTTAAGGGATACAGGTTGTGGAGGTTGGATAATAAACCTTCAAAATTGATCATTAGCAGATATGTCGTTTCTGATGAGACAAGAATGACAATGCATGCTGAAAATCCTGAATGTGAGAAGAAGACTCTCATTGAGGTGGAGCAGTCTACTAATGAAGTCGTTCGGTCGTTGATTGACAAAAACCGAACGGGTGAAGTTCAAGATGAAGCCATTCGATCATTAGTTGAGAACTGAATGGGTGGAGTTCCAAGAGAGTCTATCACAGATCTTGATGATGATACAAATGGAATGTCTGGTGATGTGAGTCACTCAAGAGGGGCTGATGTTGAATTGAGAAATTATCAGCTTGTTCGTGATAGGGAAAGGAGAATCTTTAAGCCAACCAAACGGTTTGAAGAGGCAGATCTAATTTCTATGCCTTGAATGCTGCTGAAGATCTTGAAATCTCGGGTGAACCGAGAAGTTACAAGGAGGCTCTTGACATCAACGATCGGCGTCTTTGGTAGGGCGCTATGGAGGAAGAGCTGGAGGCTTTAAGGAAGAATAACACCTGGAGATTTGTGGATCTGCCAAAGGGTAAGAAGGTCGTAGGTTCTAAATGGATCTTCAAGAAAAAAAGGAAGTTATACCAAGAGGTGAGAAAGCAAGGTACAAAGCAAGAATTGTTGAAAAAGGCTTCACCCAAATCGAAGGTATATATTATCATGAGATTTTTGCTCCTGTGGTAAAGCACCATTCGTTCAGAGTTCTAATGGCTATAGTTACTCATCGCAATTTGCACCTAGAACAATTGGATGTAAGAACTGCGTTTCGGCATGGACATTTGGAGGAAACCATTTATATGAAGCAGTCGGAGGAATTTGCTTTGGATGATAGGGTGTGCATGTTGCAGAAGTCTTTATACGGCTTGAAGCAAAGTCCAAGGCAATGGTACAAGAAATTTGATGATTTCCTGATTAAGATGAACTTGAAGCGGTGCAATTACGATGACTATGTGTATACTCTAAATCGTGACGGTGAGGTACTGTATTTTCTACTATATGTGGATGATATTCTCATTGCCAGCCGTGACAGGTGCATGATTCATGAGTTAAAAGCGAAATTGAGTGGTGCTTTCGAGATTAAGGAGCTAGGGGAAGCAAGGCGGATCTTGGGCATTGACATAAAGAGAGATAAACTATGGCGAAACTTCTTTTTATCTCAAAAGAATTACTTGCAGAAGGTGGTTTCAAGGTATCGGATGTCTCAATCCAAACCTGTTAGCACACCGATCGGTCAACACTTGAAACTCACCAAAGAGCAATGCTCAAAGACCGAGAATGAGAGGAGGAAGATGGAGTCTATTCCGTTTTCAAATGGGATTGGGAGCATCATGTATGGCATGATCTGCACTAGACCTGACCTGGCGCATGGAGTAAGTGTTCTCAATCGATTTATGGTTGATCCTGGACAAATCCACTAGGAAGCTTTGAAGTGGATGCTTAGATACATAAGGGGGTCTCTGGATACTAGATTACTCTTTCAAAATAACTTTCTAGGTGGAGGTTTTATTGAAGGATTTGTAGATTCAGATTTTGCCGGGTGTATGGACACAAGAAAGTCCCATTCGGGATATGTGTTTACTATGTTCGGAACTACTGTTAGCTGGAAGTCTACATTGCAATCAATCGTTTCCCTTTGAACCACTAAAGCAAAATATTGTGCGCTTGTTGAAGGGGTAAAGGAGACACTTTGGTTAAAAGGCTTGATTCAGGAATTAGGGATTGATCAAAAGTCTGCCCGTGTTCATTGTGACAGTCAAAGAGCCATACATTTGGCCAACCATCAAATATAGCATTCAAGAACAAAGCATATTGATGTCAAGCTGCACTTTGTCAAGAGCATTGTAGAATCCGGTGCTGTCCAAATATGCAAAATTGCATCTGAAGACAACCCTGCAGATATGCTAACTAAGCCGCTCACAAAGGAGAAATTTTTGAA